ATATCAAACTGTCCCAATTCTATCGCCCACTTAATCATTCTTCCCGACGTGTCAGGTCGGTGAAGGACTTGTTGGAGAGGGTACGTCGTAAACACGATAATTGAATGTTCCAGAAAATATGGGCGCAGCTTCCGCGCAGCGATGATCAGAGCAAAGGCTAACTTCTCCATATATGGATATCGCAATTCAACATCATGTAAAGCCGTACTAATGTAATATATAGGGAACTGTTGAAGCCCATCTTGTCGTATAAGAACAGCACTAACAGCAACGTCACTTACACCAAGGTACAAATACAGAGGTTCGTCAGGAAGTGGTTTCTGCGACGTCGGTAACCGTGAGAGAACTGCTTTGATGTTATCAAAAGCATTCTGACATTCTTCAGTCCATTCGAACAGCTTCTTCTTTTTGATCGCGTCAAAGAACGGCTTGCAATGATCTGTCGACTTTGAAATGAATCGATTTAGAGCTGCCAGTCGACCAGTTAAAGCTTGGACACCCTTCACAGATGTCGGGGGAGCCTAGTCAAGTATGGCTTGGATCTTAGCAGGATTGGCTTCGATCCCTCTTTGACTCACCATGTATCCTAAAAACTTCCCTGATCCAACTCCAAAAGTACACTTCTTGGGATTAAGCATCATAGAATACTCTCGGAGAATATCAAAGACCTCGGAAAGATGGGCGATGTGATCAGAGGCCTGTTCCGATTTCACTAACATGTCGTCCACGTAAACTTCCATCGTGTGGCCGATCAAACGAGCAAACATCTTGTTGACCAACCTTTGGTACGTGGCCCCTGCATTCTTCAATCCAAAAGTCATCATGACATAACAATAAAGGCCTCGAGCTGAGTAGAACGAGGTATGTTCAGCGTCATCAGGGTGCATGGGAATTTGATTATAGCCGGAATAGGCATCCAAGAAACTCATAAGTTGATGTCCCGATGTAGCATCTACCATGTAATCAATGTGTGGAATGGGGTAGCTATCTTTCGGGCACGCTTGATTCAAATCTGAAAAATCTATGCACAGACGCCAAAGGCCGGTGGCTTTCTTGACTAAGACAGGATTCGATATCCACGTCGGATATTTGGCTTCTTTGACGAACTTATTGTCTATGAGCTTGTTTACCTCCTCTTCAAGGGCCTTCTGGCGATCTGGGCCGAATTTCCGGCATTTCTGGATGACGGGCTTGACAGTCTTATCCAAATTCAAGCGATGACAGGCTTTTTGTGGGTCAATTCCTTTCATGCCTTCATGCTTCCAAGCGAATACATCGGAGTTTGACTGAAGGAACTGGATTAAGCTTGACCGAATAGGTTTTTGTAGGTTAGCTCCAATACGCAGTGATTTTTCCTGAGTCGATCCATCCACGTAAATGGTTTCGACATCTTCAACTGGTTCCGCTCGGATATGATGATTTCCATCTTTGAACTGCATCCGTGGATCCGTATCTTCGTATGTTTCCATATCTTTCTCATGAAAAGGTTGCTCTTGATCGAGGACTTCAGTTAATGTTTCAGGCAAAACCGACGTCATAGGGATATCGGTATCCGTAAAAGGCATGTCGGTATTTGGGGCGAACTGATTGGTTCTTTCAGCATTAAAAGTTGGATTGTTCAGCTCAACGGAGTGATCAACATCATGCTCTTCAATCATATGAAAGTTACGCGAGGTTGAGAGCAACATCAGACTTCGGGCTTCTCGTTGATCTCCGTAATGAGTGCCTTCTCCTTCAATGGTGGGGAACTTCAGGGCATAATGGAAAATTGACACAGCAGCACGAAGTTTGTAAAGTGCAGTTCGTCCTATTACGGCATTATACTCATTTTGGACATCCAAGACTTTGAAAGTCTCCATAATGATCTTGGATTTTGGTCCAAAGCCACCAAACCGAATAGGGAGCAGTATTTCGCCGACAGGGCAAGAAATGCTTCCATTGAAACCTTGAATTTGGTCGTTGCAAGGCCTAATGTCTGCTGGGTCCAAACCCAATTTCTTGAACGTGCGGAGCATCAAAATACTTGAGTAAGCTCCTGTGTCGACTAGAATCCGATGAACAGGAATCCCTCCAATCGGGGTTGTTATAATAAGGGCGTCGGAATGAGGATGAGCAAATAAATTGGCATCTTCGATACTGAATATGATGGGACAATTTCGCTTGTTGATGGTATCTCGAAGATCAACATTCATGACTCGTTTCTCGGCATTTTGTGCCTCCCGGGCATAGGCTTTGACCTTCCGTCGAGAAGTATCTAATTGTTTATTATTGGAATTGACTCGAGGTATGCAGTGCGAAGAATCTAAGGCGTCATGTGTCCGGGATTTCCTGCAGTTGTCAGTCGAGGTTCCGACATAAGTAGAAAACGTGAAGACCTCATTATCGTTTGCGCGAGCTCTTTTCTGGTTAACCGGTCGGTTATCATCATCTTCATCATCTGAAAGATCCAAGGGTCTTTCTTTCCAGCGGTTATCAAAATTTCGAAACTTTTGAAGCTGAGGTTGTCCGATTAACCGTAAGAGTGCTGACAAAAGGTCGAGACACTCATCGGTATTATGTCCCGGAGACTTGTGATACGCGCAGTATCGAGTTTTGTCCAGCTTGTCTTCAGGGGTTCTCACCGGTCTCGGGTCTGGAATAATGCCTTTTCCTTTCAGTTCTTCATATATGGTGGCTGCTCCGACGGAATAAACAGCCTGATAGCCTGTCCTGACGTTGTCTGAATACTGATCACGAGCAGCCCGAGACTCTGGAGTATTTTCATATCCTTTGGAGAAGTTCCGAAACTGTGCTTTCCCAAATTTCTTCTTATTCTTCTTTTTGGCGTCCGGTTCAGACTTGCTTTCTTTCACCGAGAAGTCGAAACTGGGAACCGACATCGATTCTTCGGCGATAATAAATTGTTGAGCTCGCACAAGAAATTCTTGAAACGTAGCAGGTTTATTTTGGCACAAGGTCCAGCGAAACATTGAGTTGGGCTTCAGTCCAGCAATGGCGGTTACTAACAAGGTTTCAGGGTGACAAAACTCCATGTTCTGAATTCGGTCGTTGAACCGAGACACGTAGTCCTTAACAGTCTCGTCATCCTTTTGCACGATGTTAGTAATTGATTCTTTTGGGATGAGACAAATTTGAGCTCCGATAAAGTGTGATCGAAAGGCCGCGCGTAACTGTTGCCACTTCCAAATTGAACGAGGTGGGAGAGTATAGTACCATTTTTGTGCTCGTGGCCCCAGTGTAAGCGAAAACATCCGACATCTCAAAGCATCTGAGGCACCATGTAGATCCATCCACGACGTATAATGGCCCAAGTGTGCATCTGGATCCGATGTCCCATCATACATGCCAATTTGTAGAATTTTTACCTTAGTTGGGAGTGCCTCCGCGGTAAGTTCCGGAGCTAAAGGGGAATCTGCTTCAATAATGACATTTCCCGACGTCGTGACATGTCGGGGAGAGTCTTCCTGCGACTTCTGTCGAGTCTCAAGCTCAGCCAAGCGTTTACGAAGAGTTTCGATTTCCTCCGCGCTATGTCGTGAAAGACGATTCCGTTCAATCTGGCGCCGCAAATCTTCACGAGCGTGAGGCGCTGATGAAACGGGTCTAGGTCGTGGCGAAATTCTTTGGTGATGAGCAGAGTGGCTTTCAGCAGTCATTTCCTGTACAGGGGGGTCCTCCGGGGCTTGATTGTTCTTTACTGGATTAGTAGTTACACGAGTTAACTCTTCTCGACGTGGAGAAGTATGGTGAGGTTGCGACGTAGCATGAGATGTTGCCACATGCGTTTCAGGGTCATGACGAGTGTGGGTTGGATGTTCTGTTGGATTAGTGGTTAACGACATCGATAATGGTACCGTATTCGAGTTTCTGGGCATGGCTCGAGCTATCAACGAGGTTAAACCTTGAATAAACTCTAGGTTTTGAAGAAAGTTCGTGATGTTCGTAACCGGAGGAGGTGGTGTCGCACGCCGCGGAGAATGGTTAGTCGATTGACTCTGGCCAGGATGAGTTGTGTGGTCTCGACCAGACTGCGACATGATGACTTCGAGCGCGATACTGGCTTAAACAACGAAAGTTAACCTCAAAACGTGAGCGCCCTCCTTCTAGCGCCAAACTATTGTCAAATGAAAATTAACAACTATGTAATCGACACGGATTTTGTAATAAACTTAAAATAAATCGACAAAAGCTTATATGATCAGTGAAAGGAGATGGAATTTTTCTGAATATTTTTGTGTATGTTTCTCTTGACTGATTGGAGGACTGTTTTCTCCTCTTATATTTATTTACAATATTTATCTAATATGTAATCATTACACAAGAATAGTCAACGGCGGCTAATTGCCATTCATCTTAATAATGTGCCACTTGGCCAGGTGTAATGATGAGTTGTGCTGAGTTGGCACCGCCTTGTGGTGTCGGTCTAGCAAGTCATAGATATCGGTTCGAGCAGTTATAACCGATATGTCGTATCCATGTAGTAACCGACATGTCATAACCGACATGAAGTATCGGTCAATCGACGACGATGTCGGTTCTTGATGAATTTTTACCCGACAAGTGATTGTCTTGAAATTAGGGTCAGAACCTTGAGATCCGTAAAGGCATCTCCTATTTTATGCGACTTCGATCATCCTTCTACTGAACATAATCAAGTGGTCAGCGTCGCTTAATTCGGTTTACTGAAAATGATGTCAACAGGTAATAATAGGAAAAACATGTACAAAAGACCCAAAACGACATTTATTTAGTTAATAGTTGATAAAAACCAAAATGACATTTAAAAAAATTAATGTCTAGATACATAACAAAATGGATGAATTAAAAAAGTCAAAACGACATTTATAATGAACATGAGGGAGTAGAAGGTAGTAGTTTTTAATTATTATTTCTAACAGCCCCCTCACTCCACCAAAACCCCAGCAAAGCCCTACCTCGCCTTCGTCCTCACATCGATCTGTGTGCCCTTTCCACTCTATAGTCTACACTTCGCTACCTCCATGACCTCCTTCGCCGCTCGGTCGGTGATACGCTCCGTCTCCACATCCGCACGAGGCGCCGCCGTCATAATCTCGGCTGGTACTAAGCCCAAGGCTTCTCCTTCCCCTTTTCGCGTTCCGACTCAGAAACCCCTTTCCGCTCGCATTTTCAGGTACTTTTTCCTCGATCGAAAACTTAGTTACTTTCCAATTGATGCCTGTCTGTGTTTCGATTGTGTTGAATTTGATGTTCGATGTTTGGGCTTGGACTTAGGTCACCTGTGGAGATGAGCAGCGTGGCTTCTATGCTGCCGTACCACACCGCAACCGCCTCTGCGCTTCTCACCTCTATGCTCTCTGTCGCTCCACGCTGCCACGCTTGGACTCTTGAAGGTAATTCTTTTTGTTCCCTTCTATACTGCTCACAGTTGTGAAACAGTTCTGTGTGTTGACAATTTATTACAACTTTCTTCTCTGAGTGCCTATTCTGAGTGGCTATTACAAGCATTGGAATGGGATATCTATGTCTTATGGCTTATTATTAATTGATCCAATATTCAGAATCATAAAATGTGTAATGTGTTGGTTGATGTATGTTTTTTTTAGTGGGTTTCCATTTAAGCAATTTAGAGTACATTCCTTCTCGTGCCATTAGTGCTCACACATTTCATAATTACAGGCACGTAACATGTATATGAGAAATTATCCTAACCATAGATCCTGTTCAAGAAGATATCAATGTTAGTTCTCTGACATTTAACAGCAAAATGTTCTTTCTTTTTTTTTTAAAAATTTTTTTTTTTGTTTTCGATGTATATGCATCTTTTATTTGAGGTACAGCTCAAAGCACTCAAATGTAAAAGAGGTGTATTCTTTTTCATCTTGTAGGTCAAAAAAGGACTAGGTGAAGGTCGTGAAATGGAGGTGACACCTATTGACCAGTTGAGCATGTATATTTGAGCATTTTCTCGATTGAGTCAAAAGAAAACTGTGATTGATTGTTGTGTCTTGGACTCTTGTGAGATTTGTGGTCGGACTTTGGCGACATAGCTGTTAATTAGCCAGCCGGTCATAATGCTTGGTCGCAATTTCTTTGCTTATAGCTGTATTGGTTGTCCCTGGAATATGTTGAGCTTCAACTGAACCCATAAAGTTATACACATTTATTCTAACAATCACTTTATCACTGGTTGGTTTTTAATCCTTCCCTTCTTGTTGTTAGTTTCCCTAGAGAGCACGTGCCTTGTTGATGCTACTTATATTGTTAAAGATATATTTATTATATACGCAAATAGTTTGATGTTCAGCACCCCTAATAGGTGGTAAGCTTTTGGTTCTTGTAACATATATTCAAACCTGCTCTAAACTTGCAATGAGGGATTTTCTTTGTGTTCCTCTTGTTCAAGAGACAGTTAGATCTCTTCTATTTAGTTCACACAATTCCAGGTGCATAATCTTGCATTATGGGGTAGAAGTAGTAAGAGCTTGTATCTTGAATCTCTTCTCATTTAAGGTCACAGTGAATTATTTTATCATAATTCAGTCCAATGAGAATGCGAGATTCTAGACGATCTCCACTAACTGAAATGCTGTGAATTCTTGAATGAAACTAAGAATATTGCAATATCCAGCTTCTGCTCTATTCACACGTTCACCATGGAGCCTCATGGTAGTATTGACATCTTCTTTAGCTATAACATTCAATGGCATTTGCATGTGTTCCATGCACTCTTCCTGCTCAGTTCATTCCTCTTCTGTGGTTATGCAATGCTGTACATACGATAATTACTCTTTCCCTGTCATTATCATGTCAGTGATCCTAACATATTCGTGCACCTATCTATATTTGGGATCGTTTATTGCAATTTTAATCATGTGCCTTCTCTTTCTAAGGACTCTATTTGCAGGGATTTGAACCATTTTCTTTTGGGCTTCCTGTAGGTCTGTGAATCACGTGATTTCATCCCTGTCCAAGGAACTGGTGTCTGGATACCCCGTTATGATTGAATTTTTTTTGCAACTTTTCTGGAATTACGTTGGTATATTTTTTCTCCTGTAATTTCGATCCTCCTGCTGAAAGAACTACTAAGAAATAAGGGAAGATCAAAGGGAAAGAGGTGAGTTTGCATAACTTCATTTGAGCATCATTCTCATGTATTGTTCCCTTCAACATGTGACCACATTGTCGAACAAACGTGTAAATTTGACCCCATTTCCCTTTGCCGAAGTCCCCTTCTTTATCTCCATCGCATTATTCTTCAATACCACACCCATTTTATTCTTTGGGCTCATGATATATGGATACTCGACTTGGACTTAATCGGGACATATTTGCTTCCGGGAGTCGGTGTTAGGCTTTTAGCATTCGTTGTGTTGAGTCAAAGTGGAGAAGAAGACAGAGTGAATGAGAGGTGTGGGCTAGATTTTTTTTTTCTTTTTTTCACCATTTATTGTAATACACCCTATATACATAAAGCTCGCATCCAACACATGTATTAATGTGCAGACCAAAAAATAAAGGAATAATATAAAATAAAAATAAAAAATATAGTGTATTTATTTTACCAAATTTGAAAGTAGCGATTGAAACGTAAGAGCAAAAACTCTATGCTTTGTAATGCCAAAAAGAAAGAATATTTTTTTTCGGAAGCAATTTAGAATTTTTTTTGGTTCTGTTAGATATTTTGTTAAAGACTTCATATTTATGTATACAGTTGAGATTTTTATAATCTTTTAAGATTTATGAAATATGATGTCAATTTGAATTTTTAATAATTTAGTAAGTCTAGTACTTTATTTATACGTTTAAAGATTTTTTATAAATCGTTAGAAGTATTTTGGACTTTTTATAAGTCACCCGATATTTAAAGTACGCACATGGACTTTCGTTGTGAGACTTTCTAAATTAAACAAATAATGAAGGTCTTTTTTTTAACGAAATTACAAAGACAAAATTCTTGTAGAAATATTATCAATTTTTATGAGATTTTGTTGGACTTATATAACTCTCTTCAAGTCATCTTTTATTTTTAAAATTTGATGTACATAATTATACATCCCGTATAAATCTCATATTTTGGTATTTTACTCATTTATCCCAATAGTCAGTAAATTTATTTTATTAATTATTAATGTTTAACGTTATTTTTTTTTCTTTTATTTGTTTAGTATTATGATTCTTTTTGTGTGTTTATTTTATCACTCTTTTGCTTGTGAAGTTCGATTTTTCAAGGATCAACAGTTTGTGTAATTTGCACATGCCAAATTTATTTATACTCTCTTTTCTATTTGTAAATTGATGTTATCAAGTATAAAATGTTTGTTTTACGTGCCAAGAGTTTATTTATTGATACAAAGCAATTGTAAGTATTAAACAAAGTTTGAGTTTAATATATTTTTGAAAAAATTGATAAAAATTTGTTGATATTAGTTATTATGCAACGAATATTTCATGCAAACATGATAACTATAAATACATAAATTCCTTAATAAATCTAAAAAAGTAATGTGAAAGTTTTAAAAATTCGTAATCATTTTCAATAAATTAATATACGTCATTACATATTAATTTCATATTTTTAATAAATATTATTTAATTAGTATTTTAAATTATAAATATTAATCAATATCAGTTAGTCGTGCATCGCACATGATTCGGTAGAATTTTACAAGTTTTTAAAAATATTGAGAAATATTACAGTGTCGTTACGGAGTTATTTCGTTAGAATTTTTAATAGTAGATTATCTGTCTACACTAATCTACGTGGTATATTTATGGTTAAAAACCCGCGGGACAAAAATATGAAAATGTTACAAGTACATAATAAATATACATAAAGATGTATATAACACTTACATGAAGTAAGGTGTACTTAATTTTTTGGTGGGTCTCACTCGACCGTTAGGGTTATGTACAATATGTACTTAATGCTCCAAAAAAAATTATCCTACCGAAAGCTAAAATCTACTAAAACCTCAACAAAGCCCTACGCTACCTCGTCCGCTCACACATCGCTGTAAATCTGACACTCCACAGTCTACACCTCACCCACCGCCATGGCCTCCTTCGCCGCACGGTCGGTCTTACGCTCGGCCTCCACCTCCGCCCGAGGCGCCGCCGCCAGAATCTCGGCCGGTGCCAAGCCCAGAGCTTCTCCTTCCCCTGTCCGCTTCCCGACTCAGAAACCTCTATCCGCTCGCATTTTCAGGTACTTTTCTTCGATTGAAAATTTGATTGCTTCCCATTGATGCTGGTCTGTGTTTCGATTGTGATAAATTTGGTGCTCGATGTGCGAGGTTGGACTTAGGTCACCTGTGGAGATGAGCAGCGTCAGCGTGGCGTCTATGCTGCCGTACCACACCGCAACCGCCTCTGCGATTCTCACTTCCATGCTCTCTATTGCTCCCCGTGGCCACGCTTGGACTCTTGAAGGTAATTGTTATATATTCTCGGATGCACACATAACACATTTATGGTGTTTGTAATAGTTCGTGTGTAGAGATTTCATTAGACCTGTTTCTCTGTGAGTACCCATTAGTAATAAGCATCTAAATTTCGATATTTATGCTTTTTTATTGCGGGTTTTTAGTTTATCAAATATTCGGCTTCTGCGACTATTTAAGTTGTATATGTTGTTTCATTTGTTTTTTGGTATTCCGAGTTAACAGTTGAAGAAAAATGCGACATTGAGTGCTCACACATTTTTCAAATTACAGGCACATAACTTGTAGATGAGAAATTATCCTAATGATAGATCCTGTTCAAGAAGATATCAATGTTAGTTCTTTGACATTTAACCCTCCACACCAATGCCCCTTTTGTTTTCTAATATGCATCTCTTATTTGAGGTACAGCTCAGAGCTCTCAAAGTAAAAGTGGTGTATTCTTTTTCGTCTTGTAGGGCCAAAAAAGACTAGATGAAGGTCGTGAAATGGAGGTGAAGTGAATACTTGTTTACTGTACCCCATAGACCAGTTGATCAATCCTCCATCTTGGGATTGAAAAAACAGAGTAGAATTTCCATTGATTAGAACCTACTGACCAGTATATTCGACCATTTTCTTGACTGTAGAAATAAAGTCGTGATTCATTTTTATGATTTGTGACAGGCTTTTATAAAGTCTGTTGGCCATAATACTTGGTGGTGTTCTCTTTGCTAATAGCTTTAGCTACAACTCTTATTATTGAAACAAGATTAAGGAAGAATATAACCCTTTGGGCTTCAATTGAAGCTCAATTTTGGTATTTCCAACTGAATCCTGAAAGTTGTACGTTAAAAAGAGTGGTTGGGTTTCAATCCTTGGCTTGTAGATTGTTGATTCCCTTACGATTTGTAGCTTGTTGGAGCTACTAATATCGTTAAACATAGATTTATTATAAGAGATATTTGAATGTGGTTCAATCTCTTATGGACTAAAAAGTAATATGATACTGGTTCTGCTCTTATTGGACTTCAGAGGATATATTTGCTTTTAAGAATCAATATCTGCCGGGGAATTACAATAAAGCTTAGAATTCTATAACACTAAATTGATTGTTTCCATTTTTTTCTATTCTAAAGATCAATGCACATTATCAGAATGTGCTGTTTATTCAAGAAACACAGGCATCTTTTGTTCTAGTTTTGATAAATGACATAAATCATAATCAAGTATGCCAAAATGATTGGATTAGATCTGACTCATAATATGCATTCATCAGATTGCAACGATGGTGTATGATGACTGTTGGATGGTTCGTGCGAAGATTTGTTTACATGTGCAGTAGGGGAGAAAATGACTGACATATTGCCATAAATAAGCTCGACGCAAGATTCCCCCATTTCCTTGTGATTACCTATTGTTTTTAATTTTACTATCAAATGCTAAGATGTTCACTGAGAAGGATTAGCAGAATTTGTAACTTGTTTATGGTTTCATGGAAGCTTTTGCTCGCGTGGTCAATGTTACTTGAGTGTTGTTCTTTTCCTCTATATATCTATACAAGTACGCAATTCGTTGATATTTGATGGGAGTTTGGCTGTGCAAGCCGAACCGGGAGTTTTGACCTGGGATTTTTTTTTCTTCTCTTTCTAGGGTTGTGATAACTCCTCATCGGCTGACTTTGGGCTTGAAGATATCCCAAATCCTACCGTTTTGTTTATGTTGAAGTTGTATTTTCACAAAAGGCAGACATAAATAGGCACTTTGAACTATGATTGATCTATATGCTTTATTGCTGCATGTGCAAGAATGTTTGGTTAATTAGTATTATTATTATCACACCATGACCATAGTAATTTGCCTTTTTTTCATGTATTTTAGATGGATGATTGTTAGAATGTCCTCATGATTGTTCGGTGGACGTGAGTGCTCCTGAGATAACGATTGCCATTCGCTGGCGACAATTTCATCTTTGTAGTGAACAGTGTCTGAATGCTGAGCCGTTGTTTGATGTTTATAACCATTTAAAGAGCGGCGATTTGCTCAACCGTTTAATAGCTTACATAGTTAGATGCCACTGAAATGGCATGTTTTGCTACTAAAGCACCACTCAGGCAATAATGGCAGCACCAAATTTAGTTTCCTTTATTATTGAACTGTTCCATTCCATCTCTTGATGGAGACTTGCTGAGCATATGAATTCTTTTTTTTCTTTTTTTAAAAAAAAAGAACACAAAAAATTAGGCTTCGCTTGTTTATAATAAATATAAAAAAAAAAACTAGAAAAAATAGAAAAATAAACTCTATCTCAGTTCAAAAATGTAACTCAACTTTAGCTTAATTTTCATTATCTTCAATATTATCAATATAATTATATAATATTATTTAATCATTCGCATACATCATATCAATTTTAATTCACTATTAATTCACTCATATAATTTTAGTTATTTATTATTTCTAATCATTTTTAATCATTTATTTCCTACTTTTACTTAAAATTAATTTTAATCATTTTATTTTATATATTATTTTACTACATTCTTAAATTTTCACTGACAAGTAACAACTAACTATACTAACCTTTTTCAAATATACTTTAATCAAATTTAACTGGTGCTGCCTGACAGAATATTTATATTATGCAGCCCAAATATATGCAGTTATGTAGAAATAGAAAATTTGTTATCAATAACAAACAAAAACAGTAATTTATTGATTAGTAACTTGTACGAAATTTTTTCTCTATTTGCAAAATATTTTCTGAACAAAGAAAAAAGAAGAAAACTATTTCAACTCCTCTTTTTATTCAGATCTAACTCGGATTTATATATATATATATATATTTTTTTTTT